TTTACTTTTTTTGCTCTAAATACTATAATTTTTTAGTTTTAATTTTACTTGTTTTTATTATATTTATGAATTACTTAAAGTTTTTTTTTAGTTTTAAATATTTTTTGTTTAATATTAATACATAAAACACCTTTTTACATGTAAAATAATTATTATACAGTTAAATTTGAAATAAAAATTGAAAAAAGCATTTTGTTTTTATTTTCTTTAAAGTACTTTAAGTGTACACGAGTAGTGAGTGTAGTGGTTAGTACAGTTATATTAAATGATGTAAAACATGATGATTGTTGTTTGTAGTAAATGAAACGCTAAAAAGGGAAGAGAGAGGGAGAGAGAAAACAAGTAAGAAATTGATAGGAAATGGAAAAACTTAGGTTATGTTAGAGTTTTATTTATATTTATTATTTAATTTCAAAGGAAATACACTGATGACAGAATCCCGGCCGGCCGAAGGACTACTGAAGAATAAAGTACAAGGTACTAAGTCTATCATTTGCCTTTTTATAATATATTATTAAGCTTTAACAAAAGAAATGAATATTTATAAATTCTAGGCAAAAAATAATTAATATAATATTTTCAAAAAAATTAAAACAAAAAAAGAAAATAATTTTTAACTTAATTAAATATAAATTAAACATAAATTTTTATAATATTCTTTACAGAGTTAAAAAAATTTCCAAAAATTTAAATAAAAACTTCCTTTCAATACTAAATGATGAATTCATAAAAGAGAGAGAGAGAGAGCGTGATCTATGTAGGTGTATGTTTGTTGTGAAAGTGCCAGAGAGTGTGTTAATCTGAAATTATGGAAAACAGTGACTTATGATGGTGTCTTGAATTGAGTTGTGTGCAGCATGAATGAATATCTTCATTATTATAAACTTTTCTTAAATTATTATTACTATTTCTCTTTTTTTTCATTTTTTAATTATAAACAATTTTACAAAATATAAAGAATTCCAAAAAAATTTCTGTATATAAATCGCAATTTGTTTTTGTTTTTGTTTAATATAAATTTCTGTTTTCTATGCTTTTTTAAAAAACTTTTTTGGTTTTTGCACACAATAATATATTTTTATAATTTATACATGTTTTCAGTTTAACATGAGGGGGGGGGTATGGTGTTGTTCATGAATGATGTTTTTAAGTAAATTATTGTTTAAATGAGTTGTTTAATAAATGTTTAAAACTTTTTTGTGTTTTTATCCCTTTTTTCATAATACGTTTAATGTTAAATTTTGTTTTTGGGGTGTTTTGAAAACTATTTTTTTATAGTTAATTATTACTTTTTTTTAAATATTTTGTATCATAAGTCAGCAATTGTTCAATTTGTTTGTTTTTATTTTTATATTAAATACTTTGTTGTTTTATTTTTTTTATTTGTATTTTATATTTATATAAATTATATTTAAACCTGCTTCTAAAATTTATTAACAATTATTTGTATTATTTTGTTTTTGCAAAATAAAAAGGAGTTTTGTTTAATTTTTTTAGAAATTTTTAGTTTTTACTTAAAGTTTTATTTATGTTTTTTTATTAAATTATTAATAATAGTAGTTGTAGTAGTTTTTATTACTCTTTTATTCCTCTTTATTGCGGGCGACGTTGGCGTAAACGAAGTCATGCTCATAGTCGTTTTTTTTTTTTTTTAATTTCCATAAAATCAATATAAAATACTTAGGAATTTAAGTCCACTGCAACATTTGTAATACCAATTTAACAAAACGTCTCAATTTTCGTTTACGACAACGAATCTCGTAATAAGGTCGTTTAAGTTTAATTTACAGGAAAATTACATAGATTTCTTAATTTTTTAAAAAAAATTAAATGGGAGTTCTACAAATTTGATTTTATTTAATAAAATCTTTTATAATATAAAGTGAAAATTTTTTCAGTGAAAGTTGAAAATGAATCGTTAAACCAAATCGTTAAAAAAATTAACAAAGTTATCTTCCATCCATTTTAATTCCATCTTTCGAATCTAGTTACAATTGTGTATTACGATGCGAATAAAAATAATTCCGAATTTTTACGTCTAAGGTATAACATTTTGAACAAATTTGTTTCCGAATCAAGTTACAAAATAATTCCTCAGATTATTAGAATATTCAAAATCGAAAATTTTTTAATTAGGTTCAGAAATGTGTCAATTGAGTAGCTCCTAAGAAATCGACCATATACTAGACTAAGATATAGATTAGAATATAAAGTAGACTATAGAGTAGACTGTAGACTAAACTATAGATTAGACTATAGAATATATTATAGACTAGACAGCAGACTATACTATAGAATAGACTATATACTAGACTGTACAATAAACTATAGACTAGTCTATAGACTAGACTGTAGACTAGACTGTAGACTAGACTGTAGACTAGACTATAGACTAGACTGTAGAATAAACTATAGACAAGACTATAGGCTAGACAGTTGACTAGACTGTAGACTATAGACTAGTCTGTAGGCTAAACTATAGGCTATATAGACTAGACTACAGAATAGACTAGATTATAGACATGAGCATAGACTAGACTGTAGAATAAACTCTAGACTATACTATAGAATAGACTATAGACTAGACTGTAGACTAGACTATAGACTAGACTGTAGGCTAAACTATAGACTACAGAATAGACTGGACTGTTGAATAAACTATAGACTAGACTACAGAATAGACTGTAGGCTAGACTAGTGTATAGAATAGACTGTAGACTATAGACTCGACTGTAGACTATAGACTCGACTGTAGACTATACTGTAGACTAGACTGTAGACTAAACTGTAGACTAGACTATAGACTAGACTATAGACTAGACTACAGACTAGACTATAGAATAAACTATAGACTAGACTGTAGGTTAGACTAGTCTATAGAATAGACTGTAGATTAGACTAAAGAAAAGACTAGACTATAGACAAGAGTATAAACTTCACTATAAACTAGACTATATCAAAAAGAATAATGATTGTCTCGAAAAGAAATGAAATTTAAGTAAAAAAAATCGGTACAGACCTGTTTCATCCCATTTTTTTAACATTTCCAGAAACCGTCCCAGTCCAAGATCTAAAATATGAAAAAGAAAACTTCGACTCAATAGTTTGGAACACTCACAATGAAATTTACGATAGCAATTTGTAATATGAAACTAGGCCCCGAAATAAATTTCATACAAAAGATAAGAACTGTGAAAAGATATAAATATGTCTTTTACAAATAAAATTTCCTCCTTTGGACCTCTATGGATGTATTATAATATTACTGAAGTGATTTGTGTAGTAATAGAATGTGGAATGATCGCTGATTTCTGGGAGACTAGACTCAAAATTGCACTAAAAAGTTGCTATTATTAAGGTTTCGTGAGCTATTCAATCACAATAGTTAATGTAAATTGTTTTAATAATGAAATCGCAAAACAAAAATTCTTTAAAATCGGGTAATGCAATACTAAGTTTTAAAGATTGAAATATTGTTACAGTAGCGGCTTGAAAGCCAATTTATTACCACGAATGTTCCGTGAACTGGAATTTATTAAATACCAAACAAATTTAAGGATTTTATCAAAAATTTTGAAATGTTTTTTTAAAATCACCCTAAATATTTACAAATAAAGATCTCCCATTATTAATTTAGAAATTTATGTAATTTTTCTTTAAATTTCTTTAAATAAAATATTTCCAAAATTATTTTTATTAAAATATAGAAATGAATATTTGTTGTTCTTGTTTTCTTTTTTGATTTATTAATTATTTTCTGTTGTTTTTTTAATATTAAATTAACTTTTTTTAATCATAATAAATGTTTATTACAAAGAGATTTATTTTGTAAATAAAAACTTAATTAAAAGAAAAAGGAAAGAAAAGAGTTTTTTTAAATAGTTTTTTTTTTAAGGTTTAACGAAATTTAAAAATATAATATATATGTATGTACGACTAATATAAAATGAAAAAAATTATTAAATTAATAAACAAATAAACAAACACTTTAAAAGGAAAACACAGTAGATTGTTGATTTTTTTTTTACAAATAAACCATATTTATTAATAATAACCGTTTATTTTTTTATTTTATTTTTTATATATTCCAATTCAATTTATATTTTATTTTCTCTTACATTCATCATTTGTTTCCTTTTTGTTTTATTTTTATTTTTAATTTTATTATTATTTTTAATATTTATAAATTAAATCTTATGTAACAACTGTTTTTTTAGTGGAAATTTTATTTTTTATAAATATTTTTCTTTTTTTCTTCGATTTTTTTTATTTATTTTTTGAGTGACAACGACATTTTCATAATTTTCCATGTTTGTTTTGTTTAAATTTTATTTTGAAATACTTTTTCTTTACATAATTCATAAATTGGTTGGTTGTTGTTGTGGGGTAAAGGGTGTTGTTGTTGTTGTTGTTGTAGTAGGTTGTAATGGTTTTCAATTAAATGTTTGTATGTACGTGCTATTATATATAATAGTTTTTGTTTTTGTTTATATTACTAAATTCTAGACCATGTCTACAAAAGAAAAATTAAATTTGAAAAGAAAATTTCTTCATTTTGAATAAATTTTCTTTTTCCCTTTTTGTTCAAATATTATTGAATTTTCTTTTAGTTTAATTTCAATTTATTATATACTTGCACTTATACAACAATTTAGAATTTATATTTTAATTTTTTGTTTTTGTGTTTCTTCAAAAATTATTTCAAAATATTATGATTTTCGGTTTGTTTCATTAAATTTTATTTTATTTGTTTTTATTATTATTATTTTTATTTTATAAAATATTTTCTTTATGTAGCAAAAAAGAAAGCCTAAATTAAACTTTTTTTTTTATTTGCAAGTCTGCTGTTAGACTCCAGACTCTATATGTTTTTGTGTTTGTTGTTTAAATAAGTTTGCTGTTTTGTTGTTGTTTTAGCTCTTTTTTATTCTACATTAATTTTTTTAATTTAATTTTCGACTTCTTCCTATACTTCTTAAACATTTGCTTTTTATTTTTCATTTGTAATATATATATAATTTTTTTTTTTTAATTTTTTGTTTTCTAAAAATTATTCATTTTAAATGTAAATGAGTTTATTTGTAGATTTTTTGTTTAAATTTTTAATTAATAATTAAATAGGCATAAGTTAAATCATAGATATTAGAGTTGCTCATAACGCATTCTTTTTTTTTAATTCTACCATTTCCATTTCTAAATTTCTTTTCATTTTATTATATATTTTCTGTTTGTTTTCTCTTCTTCTGCTTTTGCTTCTTCGACTTCAACTTTATATCGACCTGTCCTCGCGTGTTTAGCTCGTTTCTTTTGTTTTTGTTTAAATTTATATATAGATTTATGTTTTTAGTTTAAATATTTTAATTTTTTTTTTTAATTTTCTCGGTATCAGGCGCTCTACGCTCTAGATGTTGATTTTTTTTAGGTTTCTGTTCCTCTTGCAATTTTTGCTTGAACTTGTTCTTTCTTTTTGTTTAGTTTTCTAACAATTTTTGTTTGTTTATTTAAATTATTTATAATTTTTAATACGGGTAGTAATATTTGTATTTCCTGATCTTTTTGTCTGCCTTAAGTTTTCTTATGGTGTTTGATGTTGTGGTTGTTGTTGTTGTTGTTCTTGATCTTATTATTGTGGTGGCTGCTGCTTCTACTACTGCTGATGCGGCGGCGACGGCTGCTGCTCCTGGTGGTGGTTATAATTATAATATAAATGTTGAAAATTAATTTTCAACTTTTTCAGCTTTGATTTTGGCAAAAGGATTAGCGGCACCGGCATTCGCTGTAGCTGCTGTTGGCGCATTTACCGTTTTATTATCGCCACTAGCACCAGCTGCGAATTTATGATCTGTTGCGGTACTGTTCGATTGTTGCGAATTTGTGTTCTGTTGTTGACTATTGTTGGCATTGGAATTGCCACCTCCTGACGTTGAGGCACCACTAGCGTTTGTTGAATTATTAGAGTTGCCTCCCTGAATGCTCTTTGTACGATTGAGCTCTAATTCGTGTAATTTCTTCCACAATTCCTCACGATCTCTTTCGCGCTTCTTTTCTCTGTAAAGTTAATGAAAGAAACATTAATTAATAACTAAAGACAAAGTATTGCACTTGTTAAAGCACAAGTTCCATGAAAAAATTATATTTCCCCAATATTTTACAAAAATAAAAGCTCTTTCCCTCCCTCTTTTTATGAAAATTCTTTTCGCATTTGACAACTTACTTTTGCCTTTCCGCTTTATAACTAGAGGTAAGTTCATCGAACAATTTCGAATTCATTTCCATAAAAGTCTTCAAAACATTGTAAACTAAAGCCACAATTGTCTGGTTCCAGTGTTCTTTACTAATGCGATACAATGCCGGAAACATGATGGGCATTATGACAGCATTATTTTCTTCAATTAAGGACATAGCATATTCATTGTTCCACAGATACAGAGCACGTTCAGCAACCTAGAAACAAAAATCAAATTAAAATGTGTTAATTCATAATCAGAAAAAATAATTTATTATTATCATTTCTATACCTGGAAATGTGGACTCGATACACATTTGGCGATTTGACGAAATAGAGGTTCTTGGATTTTAACAAATTGTGGTGGATCGATTACATCGAGTATTTCCTCAATTTCACCCAAAAACATAACTTCCTTTTGCGAACAAGTCTTTGGCCAGAATTTCAAAAGACCCCGTACGACTGGTTCCGTTAAGAATGGATCCTTTTCGAGAAATTGTACAATACAATAGGCCAACTGAGCGTGATACAGTGACAGACATTTAACTTTGTGCAAAGGAAGCAAAACCTTAACTAAAAACTGTTTGTGTTCGGCCTTCAATGGTAGAGCGAAACCATTAATAATGCTGTTGAAAAAAAAGCAAAAAAAAATAATTATGAATGAAATTTTACAATCGACAAGGTCACTTCTCTGTCTCTCTTACCTTCCAAGAATTTCCAACAATTCACCGACACCGTTAAAATGCTCCGTTTCGTAAATAAAACGCAAAAATATATTATTGATTTGCTTTCTTATAAATGCTCGTAAACCTAAAAATTTTCCATAAATACGATGCAAAACAGTTTTCAAAAAATCACGTTCACGTGGATCTTCAGAATCGAATAGTTCCAAAAGCTAAATTAAGTAGAAATGTTTAAAATACATATTAATTCAACAAAACAAACACATCTAGACAACAGACACACAATTGCGCTTTAAAATATAACAACAAAATTATTATTTAAAAAAATATAAACTAACAAAAGAATTTAAAAGTACTAACGAGAAGTAGTGTATGACTATTTACCTGTAAAACAAACTTTTGATCAATAACACGTTTTCCTATGGTCGCTTGAAAATCTTGCGATTCTAAAAATCTTAAAAACACCTCATACACCAACTGTAGGTGTGGCCAGGAGGCCTCTAAAGTGGGATCATCTTCTTCGGGATCAAAATCTGGATTCTCACTTGGCGGCAATGTACGAAACAAATTTAATGAAATCTATAGGAAAGAACAGAAAATCACAATTAAGATAAATACTATTTACTATAAGAAGGTGGAATATTTGCCCTTACCATACGTATAATTTCAGGATACACAGCTTCTGTAAGTACGCCTCGTCCATGTGTTATGTAGGTGGATAAATCATTTAGGGCGGCGCGTTTGATTTCTTTGCCCTTCAAATCAGTCACAGGATCCATAAAATCAAATGATACGCAACACTGACGCAATTTGCGAATAAATAATTCTTCTTGTTCCAAACTTGAACAATCGGCTAAGAGGAAAAAAATGTTTAAATAAATTTTGAAATATTTTGAAATATGACTACCAAACTACCTTTCAGTGGTGGCAATTGTTGCAATTCCACATCCTGTGAATTTCTATAGCGTGAGGAACCTTGACTCTTTTTGCTTTTCTTTTTCAATGAACGTTTGGCGAATGGATCGATTCGATCAACAAATGTTCCCGATGACATTTTTTCTGTTGTTCTTGTGTTTAAGATGTTTGTGCTGATCGACGATTTCTATTCTGCTGCTTTTTCACCCCGTTTCTCTTCTTACTTCTCTCCTTCTTTTTTTGTAGTTTCGTTTGTATTGAAAACCTACTGTAGTTGCTGTTATTGCTGGTGTTCTTGTAGTTGCTGATGTTGTTGTTGTTAGTTTACAATATGTTAATTATATGTATTTCGTATAAATTATTTTTATTTTATTTCTTTTTTCTAGGTATTATTTGACGATATCTGAAATTAAAAACGAAACAAAGAATAAAATATTAATTACATATCCATTATATGTAGTTTCGTATACAGTACAGAATTGTGCCCAAGGAGGCAAAGGAGAAGGTAAATGTTGTTTCATTTAATAAAATGCCATTTTAAAAATATACACTTGCCACTTGTGTATATAAATTTTATAGTGCAACGTGGCTTTCCAAAAATAATGCACTAGTAGTACTTACTGCTGCACCGTATTGATATTGAAATTTAACAAGGTAACAGAAAATTTTGTCAACAATAAAAACCACAGGAAAAGTTCCTCGTGAACTAACTACCTTTATCAATTGGAAAACGTTTTTAATCCTAGCGTTCAAATTCCAAAAGAAAGTTATTTTGGGCATGAAAACTTTTTAAATTTTTTAATAATATTTTGTCTAGCCTATTGTATAGCCTGTTGACTAGTTTATGGAAATGTTTATTAACTAGTTTATAGGCTAACCTATGATTAATTTATTGAGTAGTCAAAGGACTAGTCTATAAACAAATTGATTTGCCTATTAACTAATCTATGGACAAGTCCATTGGCTAGTCTCTGGACTAGTCTAGAAGCATAAATTGATTAGCCCGTTAACTATTAATAGATTTATTAATAGTCTAGTCTAGATTAGCCAAAAGACTGGTCTATGAACTATTCTATAGTCGAGTCTATGTACTAGTCTATTGACTAGCCTATGGATTATGGACTAATCTATGTATATACAGGTCTATGCACTTGGCTATATCCTGGACTATGAATGAGTTTATGGACTAGTCTACTGACAAGTCTTTGGCCTAGTCTATTGAATCTTTTATTGAATAGTGTATGGACTTGTCTTTTGACAAATCTATAGACTAGTCTATTGATTAATCAATGGATATGTAGATACGCGTCTCTATACTATACTATATTCCGAACTATGGACTAGTTTACGGAATAATATACTGACAAGTCTTTGGACTAGTCTATTAACTAGACTCTGTATTAGTCTATTGACTAGTGTCTATACTAGTCTATGGTACTAGTCTAGTACTAGTCTACGGAATAGTCTACGGACTAGTATACTGACAAATCTATGGAATAGTCTATGGACTGTTCTATTGATTAATCAATTGATTAATCTATATATAGGTCTATGCACTTGACTATATCCTGAACTATAGTCTATTGAATATTTTATTGTATAGGTGAGTCTATTGATTAATCTATTGATATATAGATACGCGTCTCTGTACTAGACTATATCCTGGACTGGAATAGACTCTCTAACCTGTGGGCTAGTCTGTGAACTAGTCGACGGACTAGTATATTAACAATTCTATTGACTATATATCAATAGATTAATCAATAGACTAACAAGTTTACTACCCTATGTATTGTTTATGGGCTAGTCTTTTGACTAATCTATAGTCTATTGACCGATATATTGATTAATCTATGGGCTAGTCAATGGACTAATCTATATCCTGGTCTACTACGGCTTTATTCTTATTTATATTATAATATATTTATTACCTTATGAAGAAGTTGACGAGATGTATAGTAAAGGAACTTAATAGGTCATGAAGGTACTACTATACTTTTCGATGTTTAAAAGTACAGAATTTTGGATATTAGGAGTCACTGCATAACCGCCTTAAACAAATGTTTTTCTCACTAGAAACTATTGATAAAAAAGGGAAGTTTCCTTATAAAAAGGCACTTTATTGCATTAAGTTTAAGAACTCCATTTCAACCTTTAGTTCCTCGAATGCCTTGTCACACTATTCGAAAAAGCAAATAAAATTTAATTAACATACCTTGTGTTTTCATTAATATAAAATCGAATAATGATGAATAGTAGTAGTAGTTGTTGTAATGGTTGTTGTTGTTGCTGTTGTAGTAGTGCATTTAATGGAGGGATTGTAATAAATTTTTTCACATATGTTTAAAATTATTATAATATTCTTCTGCTACAGATTATATTTTTTTATATAGATTTTGTATCGTTTAATACTCTCGCTAAGCTTCCATGATTTGTAGTAGTTTTTGCTGTTGTTGTTATTGGTGATTGTTTATTGTATTGATTTGTTATTTTGTATTGAAATAATGATGTTGTTGCTGCTGTTGTTGTTGTTGTTGTAGAAGATGACGATGATGATAATGATGGCACGTTGTTTGTTCTCTCTATCAATCTCTCACTCTCTTTTGTGTAATGCGTTTTAGTTTAAATTTGTCTCCAATTTTAGCACATTAGCACCAAAATTTTCTAAATTTTTTCCGTTTTCAGAATTTTGTTTTCAAACTTTTAGTTTGTATTACATACAGAGTATAGTATAGATTTTTATGGTTTTAATTAACGGCGACAATAAGATTTGAAATATACTGGTTATCACATCAATAATTTAACTGTTATATTGTCTGAGCCAAATTCTGCAATTATTCAAGAAAAAAAGAGAAAATTAAGTTATTAGTTATAATATAAACAATGAAAGAATTAAATACTATTATTGATAACTTTGTGCAGCACAAAAATATGAATCAAATAGCAAATAAATGAATGAATGAATTTACATTCTAAAAGACCAACAAAAATTCACCAGAAATGTGTGAATAAAATAAAAACATGTTTTTTCAAACCTACACGAATTCAAATTACAAAAACAACATATTAAATACAAAAAATATATATAAAAGATATAAATATCAATAAAGAATGTATATATGTATGATGAAAAAAATACAATCCAGCGTGGACACTGATTTCATTCAATCAATAATGTATTTATTATTGCAACTTTTTCTTTATAAAAAATGTGTAATTGATGGATTGTAAAGAAACTTTAGAAACGAGCAACAACAGCAGCATTCAACTTGAGTGCGGAGACCTTTACACAAATATCAATACAAAGAAGCTGGTTAGCCAAGGATACCAGATGGAAATCAGCTGAATTCAATAAGTTGATTTGAATTTTAAATTTTAAACTTTAATCCAGTGTTTCCCTAAAATTTATTAAATTAACTTACTTAATTGACATATCAGAATAATTTTTCATTTAAGGATTTGTTATAAGTTTTATAGTCAATTCAGCTAGCTGAATTATGCTTTTATAATTCAACTTATATTATAACACAAAATTTATTCACATTAAAATCTTAATGTAACTTTTAAAACCAATTCAGCTAGCTGAAATTGAATTAGTAAATATTCACGTATTACAATCTATGTTCACTATTAAATTGCTAACATAATTTTGACATTTAATCCAATTCAGCTAGCTAAAATTGTACCATGTTTAATTAATATTGAAGGAAATTTTCTTCTTAATAACTTTATTCAGCTGAAAACCTCTTTATTATTGAATAAATTTTAGTTAAAATTAATTCAGCTAGCTGAATAACAACTAAATTTGGCTGAAGTACAATATTTTTACAAATTCAATTAGCTGAATATCAAATCTATATACGGGTATATGTAGTAGTCTATATCCTGTACTATGGACTAGTTTATGGACTAATCGAATGACAAGACTTTTGACTATGTAAATACTACACACATTTCTTTTAATAGTAATTCAACTAAGATTTAGTTATAGTTTAGCGAAGCTGAAAGCAAAATTTAATTCACATACATAATCATTATATCGAAAATAATTTAATATTTTTAAATTCAGCCAGCTGAATACAATTATATATAGCAAAATCACCATTTTATTAGCTGAATTTCGATTATCTTATAATTCAGAAAAGATTCAAATATTTATATACCCAATTATTTTGCGAAAAAGTTACAAATTTAATAATTACATTTTACCAAATGAATTCTATTATATTCATTAAACACAATGTTATTTTTTATGCTGAATAATATTTGTAGTTAGCTGAATTACGCATTTTTATTATTATTTATTTATTATTATTATTATTTATTTATTATTGTTATTATTTATTTATTATTATTATTATTTATTTATAGTTTAGCGAAGCTGAAAATTCAATTCACATAAATAATCATTATATCAAAAAAAATTTATATTTTTTAAATTCAGCCAGCTGAATACATGAAGCTGAATTTCAATTATCTTATAATTCAGCAAAGATTCAAATATTTATATACCCAATCATTTTGCGAAAAAGTTACAAATTTAATAATTACATTTTACCAAATGAATTCTTTAAACACAATGTTATTTTTTATGCTGAATAATATTACGCATTTTTATTATTATTTATTTAAAACTATTTGTTAAATACCATATACGTTTGTATTTTTTGTTCACAATTTAGCTGAATTATATTTAAAACTTAAGCAAAATTTTCAGATTCATAAATTTATTTGCTGAATTTCCTTTTTAGTTGGCTGAATTTTGCTTTATTATTATTTTTAGCTATAAAATGGATTCCTTTAGGTTATTCATCTTATAAACTTAAGCTTAATTTCTTTATAGCCCAAGAATTGAAAGTTATCTTTTTATGCACGTTTGGTATAACATTAAAAGTTCTTAAATAGATTTTAAAATAAATAAAATTAAGCTCTAAAATTTTCAAATTTATCATAATTTTAGAACAAAGAGTAAATTTAGCTACATATTTTCTTGTCTTTCTAAGCAAACTTTCGTTAATCCCCCGCCTTATGTAAACTTTGCTTAGTTTTTTTTTAATTGTTGGAACGTGTAAAAAGGTGTGTTTGCGTTAATTACGTGATCAGCATTTTAGAGATATTTCTGTAGAATAAATATTCTATCATAAATAATACCGTTTATCGTAAAATTTTTTTCTACAGTAAAAATTTTAATACAACAAAAAGTAAAACAATAACTCATATAAAATCGATTTGCAGTTATTATCATCATATAGAAAATAGAAACAAATAAAAACAAATAAGGGTGTAATGTAGTGAAATGATAACGAATAGATATTTAGATTAAAACAAAATCAAATCAAAAAAACATTTTAAAACAATTAAAGTATAAGAAAACACTTTATATTTTATGGCCTCTATATAAAATATGAAACAATTTAAAATTGTCATAAAACTGCTTGCTGCAAAGATAAGTTAAACGAATATAAAAACGAAAAACAATAACAACAACAAAAATGTTAAGCCTAATTTATGATTATGCAATTTTTTTGTTATTATCTAGTATAAATTCTTTTTTATTTGCGTTTCTTACGAGCTGTATTTTGGTCGCAACAAACCAACTCAAAAAAAAAAAAAAAAAAATAAACAAAAGAATAAGTAGAAGAAATCTTAATAAATGTAATTATCTTTCGTTTTGTTTGAAATGACACAATTTGGGATGACAGAAAGACAGACATCATACGATTCCATTCAACAACCAACTGATAATAATCAGACGTGACACTGAACAATAATTAAAATAAAAACCAACACACAGACGGAAAAATTGCAAGAAAATACTACAATAAAAGACATTTCTAATAATTTAGTTTAAATGTAGAGATTTTGGAAAACTAAATCTGAATGAATGGATATTTTGCAAAAAAAAAAATAAAGTTTAGTTTCAAATGTGCCTTACGAAATGAATTTTCTCTTAAAAAATATAATTTTAAATAAATTGACGTCTATTTGAAACTTCAATACTAAGTTCCCATATTAAGCAGTTTAAATATAAAATTCTTTATTTTCCGATTATCACCAACAATCCTACAAATCATGTTTTACAAATCAGAATGTTACTTAATGGCGATACAAGTTCAGACCTAAAGATCTTATTCATATTAGATACCTCAAGCCAGAGAGTATTTTGGGATTCCCGCTACAGAATACCAGAATGAAAGGCATTCAGATATAGTCCAGTCTATAGTCTAGTCTATAATCGAGTCTATAGTCTAGTCTATAGTCGAGTCTATAGTCTAGTCTATAGTCTAGTCTATAGTCTTGTCTATAGTCTAGTCTAGTCTAGTCTAGTCTAGTCTAGTCTAGTCTAGTCTAGTCTAGTCTATAGTCTAGTCTAGTCTAGTCTAGTCTATAGTCTAGTCTATAGTCTAGTCTATAGTCTAGTCTATAGTCTAGTCTTATAGTCTAGTCTATAGTTCTATTCTATAGTCCTAGTCTATAGATCTAGTCTATAGTCTAGTATTATAGTCTAGTATATAGTCTAGTCTATAGTCTAGTCTATAGTCTAGTCTATAGTCTAGTCTATCGTATAGTCTGATGTCTAGTATGGTCCTAGTCCTATAGTCTAGTCATTAGTCTAGTCTATAGTCTAGTCTATAGTCCTAGTCTATAGTCTAGTCTATAGTCTAGTCTAGTCAGTCTAAGTCTATGTCAGTCTAGTCCTATAGTCTAGTCCTATAGTGCTAGTCTATAGTCTAGTCTAGTAGTCTGAGTCTCTATTAGTCGATAGTCTAGCTAGAGTCTAGTTCTATAGTCTAGTCTATAGTCTAGTCTGATAGTCTAGTCTATAGTCTAGTCTATAGTCTAGTCTATAGTCCTTGTCTATAGTCTGTCTATAGTCTAGTCTATAGTCTAGTCATAGTCTAGTCTATAGTCTAGTCCAGAGGTCTAGTCTTTTTTTTTAGTCTATAGTCTAGTCTATAGTCTAGTCTATAATCGAAGTCTATAGTCTAGTCTATAGTCTAGTCTATAGTCTAGTCTATAGTCTAGTCTATAGTCTAGTCTATAGTCTAGTCTATAGTCTAGTCTATAGTCTAGTCTATAGTCTAGTCTATAGTCTAGTCTATAGTCTAGTCTATAGTCTAGTCTATAGTCGTCTATAGTCTAGTCTATAGTCTAGTCTATAGTCTAGTCTATAGTCTAGTCTATAGTCTAGTCTATAGTCTAGTCTATAGTCTAGTCTATAGTCTAGTCTATAGTCTAGTCTATAGTCTAGTCTATAGTCTAGTCTATAGTCTAGTCTATAGTCTAGTCTATAGTCTAGTCTATAGTCTAGTCTATAGTCTAGTCTATAGTCTAGTCTATAGTCTAGTCTATAGTCTAGTCTATAGTCTAGTCTATAGTCTAGTCTATAGTCTAGTCTATAGTCTAGTCTATAGTCTTAGTCTATAGTCTAGTCTATAGTCTAGTCTATAGTCTAGTCTATAGTCTAGTCTATAGTCTAGTCTAGTCTAGTCTTTTTTTTTTTTTTAGTCTAGTCTTTTTTTTTTAGTCTATAGTCTAGTCTATAGTCTAGTCTATAGTCTAGTCTATAGTGTAGTCTATAGTCTAGTCTATAGTCTAGTCTATAGTCTAGTCTATAGTCTAGTCTATAGTCTAGTCTATAGTCTAGTCTATAGTCTAGTCTATAGTCTAGTATATAGTCTAGTCTATAGTCTAGTCTATAGTCTAGTCTATAGTCTAGTCTATAGTCTAGTCTATAGTCTAGTATATAGTCTAGTCTATAGTCTAGTCTATAGTCTAGTCTATAGTCTAGTCTATAGTCTAGTCTATAGTCTAGTCTATAGTCTAG